ATGTGGTTACTATAGCTTTTCTATTTATTCTGTACTGGATGGGACTTCTGCAGACACATTGCTTGGGAAAGTATCCTGACAAGGAAGTAAGACAACTAGAAATACCAAACAGGTTGTGGATCAGCTGCAAGAGATTGGTTCCAGAATTATAACTATAGTAACATCATTGTTTTACATCACAACACACCAACTAAAGAAATATGAGATTACTTTTTGGAGCAGCTCATTGGCAATCGAAGAATAAGAAAGAAAGAACAACATAGATTTGTTTCTTCAGTGTAAACACTAGCATCCATACTGTAACTCTTAATGATGTTCAAAAAATAAGGAGACATTAAAGTACTAGGAAGCAGAGGGAAGGGAAGTAAAGGAAAAATGCTGTTATAAGCCATACTTAAAAATAATTGACTACAGCACACTTGTAAGTTCCTTCAGAAAAGGAAGGAAGTAAATGGTGTGCTGATCTAAGGTTTGTGGGGGGGATCAGGTTCAATTCCCTACTCCACTACAGATTACCTACATGACTTTGAGAAAGTCTCTTAGTCTCACTCTGCCTTTGTAATCCTACACTACTTTGCGTTATAGGATTGCTATGCAGATAACTATAGTAAAGATTATGTGGCACTCAGATAATATATTGAGGGTCAAACCTAAGAGTTTGATTGCTAGATAAAAGTTAGCACCTACAGTTAACAATGAAAAGTGGCTGTATAGCACCTCTAAAATGCCTACCTAGTCGTGAGACATAACAACTGCAAAGCAAACTATACAAGATTCCAGAACTGTTCTCTAAATTCACTACAGAACAAGGGAAAATGATTTATTCAGACTCATGTCACCATCTTCCCATTAGACCAGATTTTCTTCCAGCAAGTGCAACACAAAGTAACATCATTGTCCAGATTATGAAACTACTGTTGCAGTTAACGTTGCCTAACTTATTTCTTTAAATAAGCCTGGAGACAAACGAATCACAGAAAAATTTCTGCCTTCAGCAAAACAATGATGGATTAAGGAGAAGGCACTAAAAATTCTCTCTTCACCCAGCCTCTCCCCAGCACAGGTTTCCTTTTCCTGCCCCCCACATAATACAGAAGATGCCCTTCCAGGAAAGCTAAACTCATTATCTCCCAATTCTCTTCAGTCCCAATCCTCAGACCATCAATTCTAGGCTGGGCTCACCATGTATGCAATGACAAAGGAGGACATTTTTCTTTTTTCGATGAATTCAGCAATCAGGCACTTGGAGTGTCTTCATTTTTTTCTGCAGCAGTGTATGTAACTTCATCCTTCAGAGTATATATCCCTCCATATAGGGTCTCTCTCCACCTCCAAACTTTAGAAGTTGGGGGACCCCGAAGGACTATGAGAGGAAAAAGATTACTGCTGAGGAGAGGTAAGAGATCAGTCAAGATGGCCTATCTGAGCCTCAGAAGTTTGGAAACATGAGTTAAAGCGCAGACAGAGTGCTCGCAGATACCACCATGAACATTTTGCACATGCACTCCTAATTTTCTGATGTACAATTTCCATCAGCTGAAAATACAGCACAGTCCTGTTCCTGAGACAAGAGTTAGCATGTCAGAGCACCATATTGGTTACAGTCAGCGATGGCAATGGTCCACCAAGGAACAGGGCTTATTGAGTTAACACAGTAAGATGGAACAACCTCACTACAAAACCTTATGTTCTACTGAAAGGCAGAGATACTGCTCTGGATTTGCCTTGCACACTAAGCATTAAAAGAAAAAAGGCTTCTCAGACTATACTACCATACATAAGAGACTATGAGCATTATTAGTCCCTCTTTCTTTGTGTTTGAACAAAGCATGTTTAAACACAATGTTCTGCATAGTTTCAAATACTAATAGGCATTTTAAATGTAATCTGACTATCTGGGAACAACAGATCTATCCAGCTATCAACAAGTTCCAAAAGCCTTAGCTGATCTATGGAGTAGGAAATTCTGTCCAGCCTGTAAGTATGGAGGAAAAAGTCACCTTTCACTACTTACGAGAAGAAGAGCTTTGCTAATTTCCTCAACACACTAACACCTTTGCAGGTTTGCTACCAGCCTGCATAATAATGAAGAGAATGTTCACTTTAAAAGAGCGTGCTCATGTTTAGAGTTGAAATTTGTAATAAAAAAGGACATAGGAGATGTTTCAAAAAGCAATGTCTTCCCATACCACACACTGAAATCAAAGCAATCTAACAACAATTCTGTGTAACAACTGCCACCTTATGCTCAAAGAACAGACTGCAATTGCTCTACAGAGCAGAGCACATGGAAAGACTCCTTCATGGATCTTAAAGGGAAAGTTATGATCAATAGGTCTGAAATCTGACCTATTTGTGTTTTGCTTGTATCTGTTTGCAAAGTCTTTAACTGTCTTTTATTCCACAAAATAAATATTTTCTTGTTTTTGTTTTTGAACAAAAAAGATAAAATGGCAGCAGCTTAACAATACTTCACACACTTATGTAGTTCTTTATGTGTACAAAGTGCTGTACAAAATAGGGATATGAACGAGCGATGTTAAGGATTATACGACTATCCGATAAGCAAATGTTTATCAGATAGTCGACAGGATGGTCGACTAGTTGTTCCCCCACCTTGCTGCCTGTATCAGACAGAGGCAGTAAGCCGGGGGGAAGAGGATACTTCAAAGCGGCAGCGCCGCATGGAGCCTGGGATGCTGCCACTTTGAAACGCCACTGCATCGACTCAATTAGTGAATTACAGATGGTCCCCGAGCTGTGACTGGTCGTAAATTGACCTTTCGCATTTATGACCAAAACTCCCATTGAGCGGTCATAAAGGCAGTCCCTGAGTTACGAATGTGACCCACACTTACGAACAGCGCGGTGGCAATGTAACTCAATGGAGTCCGAGTTACGAACATTTCGAGTTACAGCCAAATGTTTGGTTCATAACTTGAGGAGAGGCTGTACCCGATACTTAACATCATTAATGTGAACAACTAGTCGACTGTCCAATAAGCAAATGTTTATTGGATAGTAGACAGGCTATTCAATTCTCCCCGCCCACACACACACTCTATTTATCAGGGAAGAGATAGGGGTACTTCAAAGCTTCAGCGCTGCATGGAGCCTGCCACATGCTGCTTTGAAATGCTGAGTACAGCCTGGGGCCCTCTGGAGACTGCCCCACTGACCCCAGGGTCCACGCAGTGCTGCCGCTTTGAAATGCTGCTTGGAGCCTGAGTTCCCAGGTGATACCAGGCTCCATGCAGTGTTGCTACTTTGAAATGCGGCAGGGAGCACGGCCCCATGCTCCTCACAGCATTTTTGTCTTGAAGTGTATCAATAGCCCTGGGGCTGCTGCTACACTTCAAATGCGGAAGCGCCCTTATCAACTAATCAAAGAGTCGATGCAAATTGCATCAAGTATTGAATTGGCCAAATAATTGAAAATAATAATTCATAAACAATCCTAAAATATAAAACTAGCAGACTTTTAGAATGAAGGAAAGAATAAGGCGGCAGTTTTAAGCTTTAATCTTCCATGAGGAAATTATAAATAGTGAGATGCAAGGAAAAACTTGAAAAATTACAGAAGATTTTTTAAAAGGACACTAAGCTACACTTCCAAACCCCCCTTCAATAATTGAAAATAATAATTCATAAACAATCCTAAAATATAAAACTAGCAGACTTTTAGAATGAAGGAAAGAATAAGGCGGCAGTTTTAAGCTTTAATCTTCCATGAGGAAATTATAAATAGTGAGATGCAAGGAAAAACTTGAAAAATTACAGAAGATTTTTTAAAAGGACACTAAGCTACACTTCCAAACCCCCCTTCTCTGGGGTAGGCAGCCCTTATTCCCCTCTGGCTACCAGAGAGGGCCAGGCCGAGTTGTGGCAGCCCTGACT